GATATAGAAATTGCAGACTTGAACTTATTTAAGTGACTAACAAACTAACACCATGGATAACCTTAATTGCCATATAAATGTAAGCCTTTGGCTTTACGGAAAAAATTCTCTTAACGAAGTGTGTTCGTACCAACAGCTCTAATTTTGTCAAATTAAAATATAAAGTCGATAAAGCGGTGCTCACGCAATGCGTGTAGGTTCCAAACTTTATTCATACTTCGAATTCCCATATAACCTTTAATAAGGTGCTAGAGCGAGTAGAGACAAAGGAATGCAAACACTTGTTAGAACAGCTGAATCCACTTAGGTAGGCATATCATTCTTTCGTATGCTGGCAATGGGTCGACTATTGGCATCATTGAAATTCCAATGAAGTTCAACAACGCAGGGGTAAAGGTCAATGCAAACAATGATTCAGCGGCGATTGACAATAAAGTTTGCCTTCATTAGCAAATAAACATTTAATGTAGAATACATAACAAAAGTTATTTCACATTTTACATAGGGATACTTCTTCTAACTAGCTAAACCCAATTCAATCTCTGCCCGATTTTTAGTTCTGCCTTTCCTGTGTCATGTTATATAGTTTAAGAACTGGATGGTTAGAGAGAATGTAATTCATGCAAAGCTGTATGTACGAGAAGTTATTGAACACCTACTGTATACTACTACTCCTATAAAATTTGTGCTTATGGGTAAGCTAAGGAAGGGTTGGAGCAGAGAAAATATTCCCTAAATCATCCTAAATTAAATTGTTTTTACAGATGTTGTTATTTTATTTGACTGTTAATTTATGCATTCAACAAGATTTCATATTATCTTGAGCATAGCATAATCGCCCTATGTAGTCAGAATAGCAGTATTTCTCAATATTCGAAAATGTCAACTTTATTCAACTTCGTCGATCAATTTTCTTTAATCAAATATTATATGTAATTCTGATCTCCAAGCAGTCAGACATAACAAACAAAGGAGAATTCGCTTATCTAATTGCTTCAGCTTTGCAAGCGCAAAAAATTGCAGGCAATCTTCTTCCTCCTTCTATTTTCTTAGCTCGCATTATACTTTTAATTGCGTTGAGAA